CACACATGATTTGAGCTTTTCTTTGGGGGCCTCTTGTCTGTGACCTTGGATTTTAATTGAACTCTTGTGTGTTTATTTGGTCTTCTGATTTAGCTCTTGGATTGTGTGTCGTTCTCTCTGTGTCTTCAACCATGGTATGGGACTCCAGTGCCACGCTGTCCAGCAAAGTGGCCACCAGCCACATGTGGCTCTTGAGCACTTGAAATGTGGCTAGCTCAAGTTGAGATGTGCTAGAAGTGTAACAAAATCACACTGGATTTCATAGCCTTACTCCAAAACAAAAGACTATAAAATGTCTCATTAATGATATTGAAATGTTGAAATGCTAATGTTTTAGATGTATTGAGTCAGATAAAATGTATTACTAAAATTAATTTTACTTCTTTTTATTTTTCTAAGGTGCCTACTTAGGGAGGTTAGAATTCCATATGTGGCTCACATGTGTGACTCCTTGTATTTCTATTGTGCAGTATTGCTCTAGTGGACACCTGGTAAATAGTGAAGGAAGGACAGTGATCAAATATTTAGTTTTTTGTTTGATGAATGCAGACCTAAATATAATGTTACCAACGTACTTTAAAATTTTAAGAAGTGTATTCTTCCTCCATGCTAATTTGAACAGCCAGCAAAAATTTAGCTCTCTTATTTCTTCCTAAATCACCCTGAGGGATGAAGGAAACAATTTCATCGCCTACTTGTAGATCTTTCTGACTTCCTTATAACAACTCATTCTTGTCATTTTCTTCATTCACCCGTGATCATAACAAAACACTTTTTCAGTTAGAATTTTCATTTTCATCTCCCTTTTTATTCCCTTTATTGGCTGAAAATTACCTCAATCAATCTGATTTGCGGATGGCTATTAACAAATTATTTTATATTTTTTGTTTCATTTTGTACTTACGAGGTTGCAGTACTCACAGTGCCATCCTTATCTTCCTTACTTCCTGTGCTCCGCACTCTGGTTTGTAGGGCTATTCGCTAATATACAGGTTCTTACAGTTTTTTGAGTGAATGTGTTCCCATTGTACCAAAAGTGTTGCTGGGAGAACAGAGTATCTTGTAAGAGCCCTGAGTACCGTACGCTGGGAAGGAGAGAGCTGTCCCCCTCCTGGCTCCCCACCCTGCCATCCTCCGGCCTTAAACCATTCTGAGCCAGCTGCCAGCTCTACTACTGAACATTTAGCCAAGCACTTTCGGTTCAACCAGCTCGTCAACTTTCATCTCCCAGACGGAATGTAGTAATAGTAATAATGGCTCCCAAACACCAATAGACATACAATTTTAGTTTCAAGAAACATTTTCACTGAAGGCGAAATGAATATAAAGGCACTGATCCTCTGTGTGTGTGTGTATTAGGTTCCCACTATCTTCTTTTTATCTTACATTTTATTCTCAAATGATGTATCCTTCTATTTCCTTATTAAAAGATTCCTTCTTCCTCTTAAATGAAATGGCAGCGACAATGGATGGTGGTTACATTTAAAAGATGACTTTACTTGTTAAAATAAAAAGATGATGAAGCTTTCTTCTTCCTTTTTTCTAAAGTTTTATAGCTTTCCATAAGTGGAATCGCTGGCTCATATTATGAGTTAACTAACTTTTGTTCCAAAGGCTCCTTCTGCAAAGTGCAAGACCTGAAACATTATAAGAAATCTCCCCTGAGAGTCATCCTTTCATTCAGTTTATCTCTTGAAACTAGTCCAGCACTGAGGAGTACTCTATGGTTTCTCATCTTGGGAAACTTGCCTGCTATTAGCAAGAGCTAAGCATGTAAATGTGTCATGTCTTGCAGATGTGACTTAATGGTCAATTCCAGTTATACTTCACCCTGATTGTTATTGATGAAATATGGGGCTACTGTGGTTTAAGTCTATGTAAATAGAATCTAGAAATACTCTAGTTTTAAGGATGAGAATAAAATAATTTGCTCTGAACTTTTAAACACCAAAATGATATGAATGTTACATTTTCATCTGCCATCGATTCATAGAACTACTTAAGCTGTAAGATATTAACAAAAGTACATTGGTGTTCTCTACTAGTATTTTGATTTTTAGGAAAAAATTAAGGTGTCAGTTGAAATACTTCTCAGTTGGGAAGAATGCTAAGCTGACTTTGGCCTTAGCCTTGTCATTGGTTGGCTATGGATTCTTGGTCAAATTACAGGATTTTTCTGAGTTCCAGTTTTATCATTTTAAAAATGAGGTGTTTGGACTCTTTCCAAGGCCTCTTTCAGCTCTAAAATTCTGTTTTAAATCTCTGACATCAAGATTTTTTCTAAGTAAACAGAAGATGGCAGTATGAAACTAGAGAAATTTTTAAAAAGTTTTCAATTTACTGTTTTGTCAAAGAATTTTTGCTCATTTCTTTCCTGAGCTTAATGTTTTTCAAATAATCATGTATTAGACCAAAATGATTTATGAACTTATCACATAGTTGATAATAATTATGTACTTATTAGCATGTAATATTTACAGTGTAATTGTACATGCTATGAAAATTATTACCCTTCATCCACACCCCTAGCTTCCCATACTCTGCATCTCCTTGTGAAGTTATCATGCATTAAGGAGCATAGATTTAAAGTCCTACTTTGAGGATGGAACTTGAAACTTTTCAGGTATGCCAATAATAATCATCTCTGTGTTTTAATTCCATTGTGCTTGTTAAATTTGTTGACACGGACTCTCAATGTCAATGTCAATGTTTGGTAAATAACACAGAAGGATCATGCTTTTATGATGTCACACATCCATTTATGAAATTTGACCCTTCAAATCATTTCTATTTTTGAAGTGTCTAAGTATTTCTCATTGGGTATACAGATAGCTCAACTATGGATGATAAGTTTGGTCTTTCAAATGGATTTTCCTTTTAAAACACTGGCACAGATTATTCCCCTTTGTTTATCATATAAATATATCAGTCTCCTCTTCTGAACTGGCTCACATAGAAGGCCTGAAATGTCAGGGGCCAGTTCATGACCAGGGAGAAACGTGGGAGAGCTGTACGTGTTTGGGAGCTGTGTGGTCACATCCTGCCTAAGTAGGCACTTGAGAGATTCTCTGGTATTGGCAGGAATGTTGGACTTGGAGTGGCCAGATCCTGGCTCTATCACTTATAAACAGTGTAACTCATTTCTCTGTTTGAGGTTACTGAACGAAAGATATATACAGAAAAGTGTGCATATTCTGAGCACAGCTTGATGAACTTTTCACAAACCAAATTACACCCATGTAATAATGTGAATATTCACATCAAGAAACAGAACATTGGTAGTACCCTAGAAGTGGGGCCATGCTCCCTTCTGGTTATAACTGCCTACCCATTACCAAAGATAACCATTATCCTGACTTCTAATCATAGATCAATTTTGCCTGTGTTTGTACTTTCTATAATTGCAATTATGCAATGTATTTTTTCTTGTGTTGAGTGTCTTTCACACCACATATGTTTATGAGATACTTCTGCATGTGTAGCTGCAGATCATTCATTCTCATTGCCATATAATAGTCCATTGTATGACTATACCAGAATTCACTTATGTTTTCTATTGCTGATGAACATCTGGGTTTCTAGGCTACTATACATAGTTCTGCTGTGAACATTATATACTTTTGGTACAGGTATTTCTATTGAGTGTATACATAGAAGCAGAATTTCTGGGCTATACCATGTGCCATGTTCAGCTTTAGGAGACAAGACCAGCAGTTTATGAGGGTTCCGATTGCTTCCTATCCTTGCTAACACTTACTGTTGTCTATCTTTAGCCATCCTGGTGATTGCACTTTTTAAAAATTGGGAATAATAATTTGTACCTTGAAAGGTTGTTGTCAACTTAATTAAGATGTGTTTCTCTTTGCTTTCAAATCCTGGGCTCTTTCTTCTGCCATGGGCTTGGACAACGGCTCTGAGCTTCAGTTTCCTTCCATGTAAATAGACTAATGGGCTGAATAGTCCTTAATGTCCTTTCATTTCTGATAAGCTTAGCTCTGTAGTTGTAGGTGCTTTCTAGGTACACGGCTAGTGGGAAAGAATTTCACTATCACTTAAGTCCCATTACTTATCCATAGTTATCCATGTTGCCCACTTATCCATAGCACAGATCCAGGCAGTGTCACTGTTACCTGTTACTCAACAGTGTACTTCTTCCCACAAATTCCAGGTTGCACATAGAATGTAGGACAGTGGCACTGACAGATTCATACCGGAACAGGTGGGGTGCTTCTCCATTTGGCCTCACCTGCCAGAATATTCTCTAGGAAATGAATAACCACCCCCCCATCCCTCTATAGGGTCATATTGATGATTGCCCTTGTGCTGGAAAGGAGCGCTGGGTAGGAAAAAATGCGTGGAACATGCAGGAGGCAAAACCCTCAGCATAGTATGATGGTTAAGGTGCTGGGCTCAGGACTCAGACTGCCTGGGTTTTCACTTCTTCCTCTGTTACTACTCTGGTGGCAGCTGCCATTGTCATCACTGAAGAGCTGGCAGTGACTGGGAATTTCCTTGTGTCAGGCCTTGGAATCAGCTTGACGCCTGTGCTCTCATTTGTCCTCACGGCAACCCTCTGAGGTGGTACTATTATTACAGTCATCAGATGAGGAAACTGAGGCACAGGGAGATCAGGAAAGTTTCCTGCGATCAAATTGCCAGCAAGTAGTAGAGCTCCACTTTGAATAAGGTCAGACTCCAGAACGCCATTTCTTAACTATGTGGCTTTATCATCCAGAAACTTTAATTTCCTTATCAAAAAATGAGGGGAACAATAGTATCTACCTTCCTGGGCTGCAGTGAGATTAAAATGAAATGTGATTGTTTATATGAAGCATCTCACAGAGTGTCCAGCACATAGCAAATACACAGTAGATGTTTATTGTTAGTGTTGTTATTGTATGATGGAAAGAATCATTTTTTAAATTTATGATGGGATGGATCCTATGATTGTGGGAAGGAGGTTACTGTTGAATAAGTGAAGGTTTCATTTATTATTTTAGGTCCTGTCTGCAGCCTCTGTGTCTCCTCTTTTGGAGCAAGACCTGTGACAATCTTCAGTGGCTTCATGGTAGCTGGAGGCCTGATGTTGAGCAGTTTTGCCCCCAATATCTACTTTCTGTTTTTTTCCTATGGCATTGTTGTAGGTAAGAAACCTGGTCACTGTAATTTTTCTAAGCTTCAAGAGTTAGACATCATTTTACCAATGTCAGCTTTATTATTCAGTTAATATACGGCATGAAAATGATAAAAAATAATTTACTTTCAATGACCACTTCACCAAAAATTACTGCCTTAGTAGCATGTCCGCCCAATGAATCCAAATATTTGAAAGGATAAATATGTTTTACCAATGCACATTATGTTCTCTTGCAAGGCACAAGAAGGTTTTTCATTTCAGCACTACACAAAAAAGGCAAAGAGAGAGGGGGGAGCATGAGACTGATAGCACTTCTCACTGACTTAGGAAGTGGTCCCTTTCATATGGCCCGTTAGGCAGGGCTCTGTTGAGTTGTGTTCTAAACATCCTGTGCTCCGAGGGCCCACAGCACAAAGTCACAGCAGAAGTAAAAAGCAGATTTTAAAACACATAATTGTTATTATTATGATTTTAAGATAAGGCAAGAGTGAAGAAAAACTGAGTGGTGGGGATAATTGATGACCCTGATTACAGGAGAGAAAAAGCAGAGGGCTCCGGGCCTGAGAGGACAGTTTTGGGGCAGAGGCCTTTGTGATATATTATACTAATTGTATTCAACATTCAACATCATCAGACTAGTCCTAGGGGCTGTTGGTAGAGAATTTGAAAAAGATGATTGCAGCTGTCAAAGTTTTTCTTAGTGTCTGAAAGAACCTAATTTTTTGACTAGTGATATTCTCTTTTTTACTTGGGACTGTTTCCTGAAGAATACATAATAGAAATAAGAACAGCTAATATGCACTGAGTACTTCCTATGTGCTTGGCTCTGCGCTGAATTCTTTATCTGACCTCAGTTAATCTTCACAAGAACTCACATTACAGAGAGGGAAAGTGAAGCTCAGAGAAGGGAAATTACTAACTGAAGCTATATAAGTAGGAGATTTGGGGTTGAATCCACTCAGTCTGACACCAGGTCCTGACCTCTTTCACATTTTTGTAACTCTTTTCGGTGCTTTTCGAACCCTTGAAGTCTATTTTAAATTTAACTACATAGTATAATACTGCTGAGACCTGAATCCCATGTTAGTTCTTTGAGAACATGCAGTACCTTTTTGGGATTTTATATTTCCTGTAGTGTTTAATACAGTTTTGGATTGTGGGTACAAATACATTAATCTCTTGTGTAAAATTTGAGAGTCTCCACTGAATGATCATTTTGCATTATTGTCTAAAGTCATAAAAATAAAAATGTAGGTATCTGTGTTTATGCATGAATATTGGATTATTCCTTTTAGGACAAATCCCTTTTTACATAGAAAATTGAACCATTATGCCATTGATACGATTTGGGCATTTCCCCCAAACTCTGGACTACACATTTAAAGTTTCATGGGATTTTCCTCTTCCACATGGTTTCAAGGTTAATTTAGGCATACAAAGTTGTTACTGACTTAAAAATTGATGAGCAGTGAGTGATACCATAGCATTTGCATTACCTGTAGATAAAAATAAATTTTTAAGAAGAAAAAATTGGCTTGCAATGTCTAAGAGTTATATGCATTTGATTGTGTTGGAAGAATACCTAAGGATATATAGAAAGAAAAAGATAATATTAACTAACTCCCATAACTAAATGTCAATTTCTGCAGCAATGGAGGGAGTTTTATCAACCTATGAAGTTATTTTGTGATTTGGCTTAAGGTGCTGGAATCTTCTGAGAACTAACTGTGCCCCCCCCCCCCCCCCCCCCCCATGAATCCATGATTTTCAGTTAAGATAGGACTTGAGATTGGTCTTGGCTGGTTCTGGTGTTATAGGGCTTCCACTTGGCTTTCTCCACTATGGTAACTCTTACCCCAATGGCCAAGGAACAATGTAGAGGGTTACACCCACAACCATGAATGGGTGAGCCAATGAAATATCAGGAACTTGGACGGGTCCATGGACTCAATGGATCCATTGTGAGCCACACCTGGGCCATGATCGTGTATATTACCTGGCCCCCATATGACCGCATTCTAAAGGAAGGCCACATAAATGCTTGAGGCCCCTAGTTAACCTTGGCAGCTCATGTTTTGTGTCCACCTAGACCCAAAAGGTATCCCACTTTCCCAAGTGCACAAGTACCTATATAAATGGCCATAGTTACCTTTGGGGAAGCATTTAAGGTATTGTTATCTACACACTTGTCATAGAGTTTATTGTAATGTCCTTCCTCCTGGAATCCTGGTCTCTCCTTCACTTAATGATTCTGGGTCAGAAAATAGGCTCAGGTTTGAAGACTCTGATTTGGCAATAGGTTCTGAATCCTTGCAACTAAGTAGCAATTGTCAGCTCGTGGAGAGAGTGCTGGGTTTAAGGTCAGGAGAAGGAGATTCTGTGAGCCTGAACAAGCTTGAGGACAAATGGCTGTCCCTTATCTGTGAAGGCAGGCTGGGAAACCTACCTCACACAGGTTTTGTGAAGACCAAATAAAGTCAAGTGACATATAAATAAAAATAAGACAAATAAAAGAATTGAGTTGGATTTCAATTAATAAAAAGATCGTTCTCCCTGGTAATTATTGGGGCCTTGTTAACTACTCCTAGCCAGCAGATAATTAATTCTTATTACCATGTTTGATGTCTTTATGTTTCTTTCTTTCTTTTTTTTCATCGGTAGGCTCATAGTCCAGGGCTTATTGAATATTTCTGGGATAAATAAATGAGATGATACTGAACAGTAATACTTCCATTCTGTCATCATTTAGAATAGCCAGTTGAAAAGGCAGTGACAGGAAATTATTACGGTCTACACTCATTTTCCTTTTTGTATTGAGTCCCTTAGAAAAAATAAGAAAGAGTCACTTTAATGATAATATTAATTGAGCACCAGTTCTGTGCAGAATTGTATACTGAGCATTTTCATTTGCCTAGGATGAGCTAGATGGTCTCTTAAGAGGGACAGTATGTGGAGGGAAGGAGCAAACACCAAGAGGCAGGCTCTGGGGTCCAACCATGTGGGTTAACCTTGTGTTATTCACTTGCCAGGTGTGGTGACTCCAGGCAAGTTACTTAGCTTCTATTTTCTCATTTTTAAAACTGAATGTAATAATGACATCCACTTTCGGGTTTTGTGAATTGAGGAGGTAAGGCAATAAATATTAGTTAGCACAACCGTTAATATTAGTTTTGTGACCTTGGAAAATTATTTAATCTCTCTGAACTTCTCTTTTTTTTATTGAATGACTGCACGAGGCTATTGTGCCTATTTGTGAGAAGCACAGGAGGTGTTTCATACATCCCTTCCCTTAAATTCCTTTCTGTACACTTAGTTCAAGACCACAGCAGCAGTTTTTTGCTCCCGAGGAAGCTTTATGGAATCAGCAATATTTGTATAACAGCTTAAGAAGATAGAAAAAGAAATTAAAGCTTTTTCATATGTTTAATTATAATACAAAATATCAAAAAGGATACCAAAGTGTATCAATGGGCATAATTCTGTTTGACCACTTAATTGATGTTTTACAAAGGATCATCTTGAAAATATGATGTTCTCTTGTTCAGTTTTTATAGCTAACATAAAAAGGCCATTTCCCCCTTCTCAAGTGACTGCAAGCCGCACTGCCAAACCTGGGGATTCAGGCTTCTATTTTCTCAATTGCTTTACTAAACCAAGAAAAAGAAAGTGGGGTGCAAGGTGGGGGTGGGAAATATGTGCTGAATGAGTTGCTCAAGTGTCTCCCTAATAATTTCTTCTTGCTTTTCTGAAAAGCGTAACTCAAAATCAATGTCTTTTGTCTCTTTTCCTCAGAGTATATTGTTTTTTAGGTACCTAGTTAGTATTTTCTTACTATTCCTTCTTGGTCTTTGGAAAAATTCAGTTTTCTCTTCCATCGTTTTCATGGTAATATCTGCGTATGTAGTGAATCTGCTCAGCTTATTGAGATCGGGGAGGGAAGAGACCATGTTTGCAGACAGTCTGATTCTCCTGCTCAATTACAGCAAATGAGATCAAGGTCATTTCTTGAAGTTCATTTTAGCAGTTAGAGTTTTATAAGCCTTTTTGTTTTGTTTTGTTTTGTTTTTAATGGTTATATCATTAAAGAGAGTCCTTTTATCTCTCACGGATGCTCAGTTGTAATAAGGAACTATGATTTTCTAATTAGTCTGAGGCTGTTATCGACATAATGCCATAATGCTCAGGTAAAAAGTTGGTTAATGGTTATTTTTTAGAACTTGCTATATTCCAGGCACAGATACTGAATCTTTTACATTTTTTTTTAAAGATTTTATTTATTTAGTGCCAGCGAGAGCGAGAGAGCACAAACAGGGGGAACAGCAGAGGGAGAGGGAGAAGCAGGCTCCCTGCCAAGCGGGGAGCCCGATGCTGGGCTCCATCCCAGGATGCCGGGATCATGACCTGAGCTGAAGGCAGATGCTCAACCATCTGAGCCACCCAGGCACCCCAATCTTTTACATTTTTTATGTCTTTTAATCTTTACAGCTATCTCGTGAGATTGTTTTAAAGATAAAGAAACTAAGAAATAGAGTTTAAGTAAATTCTCAAGTCCCCCAAGTCGCCCCGCCAGTGAGAGATAGAGCTGGGATTTGAATCCAAGCCTGCCTGATTGCCAAGCCTGTGCTCATAACTAGTCAATGTCATGTTCAGAATATTCATGCTCAGCTACAAAAGTCAGAGACAGTTTATTAAAAACACTAGCCAATCGCTTGCACTTTTAAACTCTTCATGCAGATGTTTGAAGCCAGCAGCATAAAAGTACCTGCATTTGGATATGCTAAACTTATTTATCTTTTTTGGTGCCTTAAGTTACCTTCCCACGGTTTCATTTCTAGAAGTAGGTATTTCTGGAACGCTATATGTAATTTCTTATCCTAACCTTTGGTCAGAATAATAAATCATCTTGGCTCAACTATTCTAAGAGGTGGTTCAAATACTTGCTTTAAAACATACAGAAGGGGAATTCTCCCAAATAACTGAGACAGGTCCCCACACTACAGTGACCAC